TCATCACGTGACCCTGAGCAGTGCTGTGTGCAGACCCCTGCACGTCATCACGTGACCCTGAGCAGTGCTGTGTGCAGACCCCTGCACGTCATCACGTGACCCTGAGCAGTGCTGTGTGCAGACCCCTGCACGTCCCTGACCATGGCCTTGGAACAGTCACCGGTGCAGCCTCTAGGCATGGCATCACAGCCCCTGGAAGACCCCGACATGAGGAGCATGCTGATTGGCCCCCAGAGGTGGGCACTGGATCGGGCATCCAGTCAGAGGGCTCAGCCGTGGGGCACTTGCATGGGCTGTGTGGAGCGTCTGGTTGGGTCTGTGGTCTCCATGGGCACGGCTCTCAGCTTTCTCCTAGACACCTTACTAAGCCCTGTACAAGGCACCCCAGGTCTATCGGAGCTCAGCTAATCGTTTCCTTCCATAGTTCTTCCTGTGTCTGTGGCTTCATCCTTCCAGACAGAGACAAAAGACCTAGTCTGAGCGTTCGCATTCTCTAGCATCATTGGGTATTGAACCCTTCCTTTCGCAGCAGTGGACTTGTAACTGCGATGGAGCTGAATAGCCTTCCTTCCCATTTCTCATCCCAAATTGGAGGGCTTGGGAATTGGGCTGCTGGCCGGGAGGGGGGTGGGGGGAGGTGCAGAGAGATGGGCTGGAGCCAGGATGAGAGGAAGAGGAGCCCAAGCCTGCCCGTCAGGAGGGACAGTGCACAATAGCAGAGAGATAAGCGATCACTGCTCACTATGTCAGCGTGTCGCCGTGAGACGCAGGGAGGGAGGGGCCCGTGGCCAGCCCCTCCGCAGCCCTGGGCTGTGCACTACCGTCTCAGCCTGCTCTCGCCTTGCACACCTTCCTGCGCGGGGCTCACCGCCTGCAGAGGTGGAGCCTGGGATGCGTCCGCACAGCCTGCCCATCTGTCCACTCCCTCAGGACTTCCCGGGGCAGCAGCCCCCTCCTTCCCACAGCCCCCAGGACGGGCACCTTCCCCCCAAAGCCCACACAGGTGGCCAGCGGACGTCCTCGCTTCCTGTGGTTTGGGAAACGTGGACCTAGCACTAACCCAGAGCAGCTGCTGTCTGGCTGAGTGGCCTGGCAAGGGACGGAGTGGGCTGAGCCTGTCGCCTTCACACTCTGGCCCTTTTGATGCCGCTGCCTCAGTTTCCTCATCTGCAAGTAGATCATGAGGAGACACGGGAGGGGTCGTTCACAACTCCCACGGATGGACATCATGCACATTTATTAATGGGTGTCCAGTGGTGACAGGACTAAAGCCACATGACTTTGCGCACGATAAAGGAGAGGTAAGAATCGGCTCTTTACTGAAAGAAGCCCTCACTGTCGTTGTTGTCTTCAGTCAGGCGTTTGCTGGGTGGAGCTACTGTGTGTCTTGTTACCCAGGCCCCGGGGAGGGGGCGAGCAGGTGCCAGGCTGGACCCTGCTCAGTCCTCCCAGTAGGGAGCATTGAAACCCAGGGTGTTCCCCAGGGGGAAGTGGGCAAAGAAGGTGCGGGCCAAGCCCTCCAGCTGCGGGTAGGCACCCACGGTCTGAAAGTACTGCACGTAGTTCCAGAAGTCAGAGGTGGAGAAAGGCCAGTACGGCATGGCCGGGGGCTGTGCGTAGGGATCTGAAAGACACAAGACGCCTCAGGGGCCACCCCATCAGCTCCCCCACAGAACACCCCCGTGGAGTCGGGCAGGAAGAAGGTGGCGCTGGGCAGCACTGTGGCGCAGAGCCTGGGAGATCCTGAGTGTCTCTGCCCGCAGGGGCAGTGAGAAGGAGGAGGGAGAGGGGAGGGGGAGGAGGAAGGGGAGGGGGAGGAGAAGGAAGAGGAAGAGTAGGAGAAAGAGGGGAGGAGGAGAAGGAGGAGGAGGAATGGAAGGAGAGGAGCCCTGCCTGACTCAGAGGCCGCGGTGCTGAGCAGAGGCAGGTGTGCAGGAGGGGAGTCTGGGCAGCGTCCTGATGGGGTTTCAGAGAGCAAAGAACGCCTGGATAATTCTGAGGCTGTGCTGAAGGCTTGTGGGTAGACCCCAGGGTTTGAGCCCAGGTCTGGGCAGGAGCTAGTCAAAATAAGGTTCAGCCACCTGACACGGGAAGCAGGGCTCAGGGCTGACCCGCCCTGGCGTGCGAGGCCCCAGCCCCGCCACACAGATTCCTCCCACCGGTAGGGGACGCTTGTCCTCTGGTCTCAGCAGAACCCAGACTCCCGTAACTGAAGCACACAGACTCCACCCCCACAACCTGCACTGATGGATCAATTGATTGCCTACCTGCTGTCTCCTGCACAGGCTTGGCCCCTGCAGAGGAAGAACACAGCCATTACCCTGGGAAGGCCCCCGCAGGACAGGATGGGCAGGGAGGCACGGGGAGGCTGTTGGGAGCCCTCCCTCTGAGTCCTGTCCTCTTACCTGTGAGCGCGGCCAGCAGGAAGCAGAGGGCCAGGCCCCGCACCACCCAGGCCCGCATCGTCCCCAGACACAGACCAGGGATGCACTCAGTACACCTGTACACAGAAGATAAGCTCCCCCTTCTCCACCAGCACCCGGAACATGAGACCCCTCTCTCCACCAGCACCCAGCTGCTTCTGCAGCCCACCTCTCCACCAGCACCCAGCTGCTTCTGCAGCCCACCTCTCCACCAGCACCCAGCTGCTTCTGCAGCCTCTCGGGGCACCCTTGGGAGCACTCGCGTTTTTAAAACCATTGCTCTGAGCTGAGTTCTGAGTGAGCTGCCCATGTTTGTTGACTGCACTTCACGTTGACCTGAAATGGTGCCCGCGCCCAGCCCCACGCCAGCCCATCCACCAAGGCTGGGCTGCTCTCCGCACGGTACCTTGCTGCGTCCACCGCCTCGGCCGTGCCTCCTGTGCAGTCACCGCCAGCTCCGTCTCCTCTTTATACGAGCGCCAGGGACAGGGAAGGAAATGCCACCAGCTTGAACCGTCAACCTGAATATTTCATCGGCAGCCAGAGGACTGTGGGCCTCTGTCCTTGCGGGCTGGCAGGCGCAGACTCGTGAGCATCTGGTCCAGAGATCAAACCGAGAGAAAAACATCTCTCTGTGGGCCATTTTTTAATTTTTCAGGATGGAATTCAGCATCTGTTCTTGAAACAGACCCAGTTTCCCCGGCACAAGGGAGGCGTTCTGACTTGGGGCCAGCTGAGAGGCCTAGTCCTGTGAGAAGGGACCCGCGACCTGAGGGCAGACCCAGCAGGACAGGCCGGCAGGTGTCCCCAGTCAGAGCCCACACCAGGACCCCTGTGAGCTAAAGCACAGGCAGGACGCATGGGCCACGTGTCCAGACCGGAGCAGTCCAGTGTGCACAAGGCCCTATGCCTCTCATTGGAAAGGGGTGGTCCAGCCCCGGGGCAGCAGCCGTCAGCTACGAGGGCCTGTGTATCCGGCATCAGATCGTACCACGACTGCGCTGCCCACGACAACGCGTATGCCCGCCTGTCTTTCTGGGCAAATGCAGCCCCAGGGCCCTGCCCGGGGGCCTCCTCCCAGCTGAGCCCACCCGAGCCCAGGACGGGCCTGCTGTCCTCCTCACACCCCCAGGCCTCTCCGAGGACGCAGGGAGCCTCCTCGCCCATGCGTTCTGGGGTTCTGTGGCTCAAGGTCCCCAGCTTCCTAACTGCCATTGTGCGCCCCCCCCCAAATGACTAACGGTACATTCTCTCCCAAAAAATGAGCCGGGTGCCAGGGACTCATACCTGTTATCCTACTCAGGAGGTGGAGATCTGGGGTCGCAGTCCAAAGTCAGCCTGGGCAAGCAAGTCCAGGAGACTCTTAAATTAAGCAACAAAAAAGCCAGAAGTGAGGTTGTGGCTGAAGTGGTAGAACACGAGTCTTGAGCACAAAAGCTCAAGGGAGGTGCCCAAGCTCTGAGTTCAAGTCCCAGGACTGGTACCTGCCCTCCCCCCCCCAAGAAAAAAAGCCCTATGTAGCCAAAGAGACCTGGACAGATCACACAATCGGTTTGTGTCATGATGTTGTCACCCAGCAGGTCAGACTTCAGGTTCTGTTGTCAGAAACCCGGACTCCAAGGCTACAGGAAGTGTGCATGGGGGCTTCCGGCCCACCCCAAGGCCCTGATTCACCGGGAGGATGCCCGGGACTCTGCTCAGTTGTGCTCATAGCTACTATCCATACAGCATCAGAACTCAGGGGAATCACAAAGGAAAGGGCCGGGCCCTGCCCCAGGGAGCACGGCCTCTGAGCTGTCAGCCCAGGCTTCCAAGGGGCCTCCAGAGGGCGCTGGCTCCTGTCCACCCCCTGCTGACCACGTGTCTGGGCCGAGAGGATGTGGAAAAACAGCTGCAAGGCTAGAAATACATGACAGAGGGTGACAGCTGCGATGGCTTTAGGAACATTTTCCCAACAAAGGGTTATAAATAGGCGCGTCGCAGGGCAGTGAGCAGGGTGGCCCGAGGTGGGATGGTGGCCGTGGGCATGCTTTCCCTTCTTTCTGGGTGTATGCGTTTTCTTTCTAACTTCCACGTGTGTAAGAAAAGGAGCCTTGCCCACACCTCCAGCTCTGTTTCTCATCACTCTGGCCTCCCGTGTGTGGGATCCACTGTCCCGTCCTGCACCCCACGCCCACAGCACACTGTCCTGAGCCTGGAGGCCAGTGGGCGGGGCCTTCCCCGGCCCCCACCAGAGGGGAAGCACCTCGGGGGCTCTCTTCTCCTGATGCCTGTTTTCGGCAGACCCCTGAGAACACCCTTGAAGCGGGGCTGCACGCGGTGGTGTGGGGCGTCCCAGAGCAGGGTCTCTGGTCTGTAACAGGAGCCAGCGACCAAGTTCCAACTCAAAGCGGGCTGGGGCTCCCAGAGGACCTGCGAAGATCCCTGCGGGCTCCTCCCCCACAGAGCTGGGACTCCAGGCCTGGGCAGCTGGGGGCGGTGGGGAGGCACAGATCGGATTCCACGTTTATAATGTGTTTCCAGGTGAACGAAGCTGAGTCGGGAGGGAATGTGTGTGCATTTCTAGCGCGGATGTGTTCTGGGACTCTCTGGGATCCTTTACATAACCAGGGGACCTGGTTCTAAGATCATGGGCCTGGGTGCACCAGTGCTGCGAGGCCGGAGCCCTGAGATGGCTCTGAGGGCCGGGCCTCCAGCCCAGCGTCTCTGCCCGGGACTCACCAAGGCCCCTAAAGGCCTCAGCTCCAGGCATGAGAAACGCGTGGTCTTGCCAGACCAGGTGGCACTCACACAGCAGTGTTGGCAGGGAAGTCTCTGGCGCCCCCTGCCAGTCGACCTGGAATGCTGGGTTTGACTGTGGTGGTCCCCAAGTCCCCAGGCCTGTGCCCCACCCCGCTCTGTTCTCCGGGAGAGTGCATCCCGGACACGCAGCATCCATGGGCTGTCCCAACACAAGCACTCATGCATGCTCATGCTCAAAGCCCCGAGGCCACGGGACCTCCTGTGTTACCCCCCTCCTCTGGCCCCTGGCTTCCGTATGCTGGAATCGAGGCTGGACGCTCCTCCCTGGGCCCCCAGCTTTGGTGAGGACTGCTGCTCAGGGTCTCTCCTGCCCCTGGAATGTGCCCCCACCCCAGCCCCTCCCAGCCAGCATCTCATCCTCCTTTGGGCTCCCTGAATCTCCCGCTGGTCACTCTGCCTCCTCCTGCCTGCCTGGGAACCTGGCACCGGCAGTGTGCCTGAATGTCCAGCTCCTGGATTGATTGGCGGGGCCGAGAAGGCTGCTGACTGGACACACAGTCGGTCGAAGAAGTGGGCTGTGCGCGTCATCCAACTGCGCGGCGTTGGGCCTAGGGGCCCCGCAGCGGGCCATTCTGCTCTCCCTGCAAGCCACAGGCCTGCTCCCACTCCAGCCCCGCCAGCCACCATGCTCCACTCCCTCCTCACTCTCTAGACACAGCTTCTGCAAAGGCGGCTCGGCCAAGGGAGGGGGTTCTCAGGGGGAAGCTCTTGAAACAGGGGTTCTCACAAAGGGGGCTTCTAATGCTGCCGTGCTGTTTCCAACCCCCAGATTCTCTTGTACTGACTATTTTAATGGAAGCCTGCCGGCGAATATCAGGAAAGGTGAGGGACATTGGATAAAAGCTGAGCCAACTTTTGGAAAGGCTCCCAGGAGAGATCACTGCCACGGATGCGGTATCGGTCTGCATAATGCTGCCGGTGGGCTCCAGGGGGTGCTGTGCCCATAGGAGCCTACACCTGGGCTGCGAGGCCTCGGTGCCCTGGCCACAGGCCGGCTGCTTTCAGATCTGAGCTAAGATACTTACGTGGAGAATGGCCCCACGATGCCCACACTGGCACCCTGCATCCCTGGCACGCCAGCCCCAAGTGTTTTCTGGGAACATTCTCTGAGATGCCTGGCCTGAACCGTGATGAGACAGAAATGGGGTTCAATTCACAGGCCAGGCAGCCAGGGGTGGCCTGGCCTTACTGGGTGGGAGGAAAGAGACAAAGAGATCTGGGGGGAGGGGTGTCAAGTGATGGACGGTCTAGAACACGAGGGGGTGTCAAGTGATGGACGGTCTAGAACACGAGGGGGGGGGGTCAAGTGATGGACAGTCTAGAACACAGAACCCGCCTCCATCCTCCTCCTCCCAAGGTATCCAGAACCTCCTCAGGCCACACGTGGGCACTGTGTCAGCGAGTCCCATGTGCGTCTCAGGCCACACGTGGGCACTGTGTCAGCGAGTCCCATGTGCGTGGGGTGTGCAGTGTGGAGTGATGCGGATGGCTGAGTCCCAGGGACTCAGCTCGGGAAGTCCTGCCAGCAGGACACCGTCTGGAAGGTTTCTCCGAGGTTCTTCCTGGCCAGCTTCTCCTGCTGACCGGCCCCCTCCACCATGGACCCTGCCGGAGGCCTGGGGCCCTGAGCAGAAAGCAGCCGGGGTGGTCAGGAACATGAGAAAACCTCGACTCTTCCCGCCCAGGAGCACACGGGAGGAAAGCTAACCCAGCCTTTCTGTGGGCTCCTTTGAACCCAAAAGCTTGCTCTCCATGTTCCTGAAAACACAGGGAACGGTGAAACGTGGAAAAGGGTATGTGCATGTGCATAGGTGTGTGTCCGTGTGTGAGCATGCATGCATGCCTGTGTGTCTGTGTGTGTGTGTGAGGATGTATGCGTGCCTGTCTGTCCGTGTGTGTGCATGAGTTTATGAGCATGCATGCATGCCTGTGTGTCCATGTATGTGTGTTTGAGCATGTTTGCATGCCTGTGTGTCCATATGTGTGTGAGTATATGTGAGCATGCCTGTGTGTCCATGAGTGTGCATGAGTGTTTGAGCATGTTTGCATACCTGTGTGTCCGTGTGTGAGTGTGTGAGCATGCATGCATGCCTGTGTGTCCATGTGTGTGTGAGTGTGGGAGCATGCATGCATGCCTGTGTGTCCATGTGTGTGTGTGTGAGAGCATGTTTGCATGCCTGTATGTCCGTGTGTGTTAGTATATGTGAGCATGCATGCATGCCTGTGTGTCCATGTGTG